ATTATTTACTTTTACAACATGCTACTACCTCCTTCTGTAACCTGTGCAATATTCTATTTGAACTTATATCACATCTGTATAAAATACTGTATATAGTGTACATACAACCATTTTCTTGATATCTATATGTTATTTAATGTGTATTTCTTTTTTCCTGTTGATGTTATATCTGGAGCTGCTGTAACAAGTGAATTTTGGGATGAGTGTGGGATCAATAAAGTCTATCTTATCTTATCTTTCACTTCCTTTCGCTGCCAACCTGAAAGGGCTCTGGCTCCTGGTGACAGTGTAATGTTTGGATGGAGTTGAGCCAAAATGGTTGGTGAAAGCTAGTTTATTGAGGCTATGTGTCTACCCTCAAATACTCCTGAACTGAACTTCAGCTGAGCAAATAAGCAGATAACTGACAACACATCACTGAGGAGGGGTAATAAAACACCTTGCTGAGGGCTCCCTGGGTTGTGACGTCACCCCCTGAGATCTCAGCTGGGCTATGGGGAAGACCGTCGTCCTCTGAGCGGCTGTCCAGATCCTCTGGTTTTCGGATAGGCAGAACCAATGGTGGTGGCCCCAAATGCATCTTCTGCTGCTGAAGCTTCATCTATAATAGCAGAGCACACATATTTTTAAAAGAACTACATTTGTAAAAGCTCAGATACCAACAAAATGTCTAGAATAAAAGTCTGTACCTGCAGAGCTTTGATCTTGCTGTGAACATTCTCCTGAGATAAGACCCTGGCTGGTTCAGCGTCTGTCAGGACTTGATCATCCAGAAAGATGCTCTCATGGGACAAGGCCCGTGATCCCATCATCCCCTGGGAGCATCTGTTGTAGCAGGAGGGGGGAAAACAGAAAAGAGTTGAAGGCATAGACTAGAAATCAATATGGAGCTGTAAATCAAACATTTACTATCACGTAGACACTCACGCCAAATCTTCCTCTGATCCGAGTCCCTTTCCCGCTGTAATGTCACTGGCTGACTGGCTGAGTTTGGCAGCTCTCTTAGTCCTCCCGAAGAGACGAGTTTTCAAAGACTTGAGCTTGGACTTTTTACGTCCTAACAGAAATTGAGATGGAGATGGATCCAGGTCACAGCAGCTCACACACACATACACATGCACAGAACTCAGACTCCTCTCTACACCCTAGATTTCCTCTGATCTTTGCTAATTGTTACATCAGCACCATATGTCAACTCGTATTGTAGATCATGATCTATCATTGACATAAATGGTCCTTGACGTGCGTTAGTCACGTTTTTCAATGTTATGCTGAAGTGCAAAGTCCTTGATTGTGATAGCTCATTTTTGTCAGACTTGCTTTCTCTTCACCATAATACTCAGATAATCTCACCTGGAATGTCCTCAGTGCTTTCTTCTGTATCTCCATGGAAAGACTCCATCGGTCTGATCCCTGAATGAACTGCAGAACAGACGTGAATGAGAAGCAACTGTGAAAGGCATACACTTCAGCTGGTGTCACATGCAGGAGGGCATCTAACCAGGTGTAATCACGCCAGTGGTATGTTCTCTTTTCTTTGCGCTCGTTTGATAGTCTAAAGATGTAACACTGGACTTGAGGTTCAAAGGTTTATTGGCTTTATCAGGAATGGTGCAAACTTTTACTGAAGCTAGGCAGGGCATGTTGAGGAAGCTTTGTCGTCATGATCAACAAAATATAATCAAAGAAGGTTTTAAAAAAGGACTATAGTAGAAACACATTAATGCAGTGTCATCAAGACAAAATATAGCATGTAGGTTGCAGAGGTGGTATTAGGATTTCTAATATTACATTGCACTGGTAGGAGTATCCATAAATATCACACTGTCATAAAGCAGTGCAGCCTGCATAACGTATCATATTTTGTGAACAAAGCAAAAGCTAAAATCTTGCTCTCAGGCAGCTTTACTTATGCAACACTTGACTGACAAACATCCAGATTGGGTTGATGTGTTACTGGATGTAAGACTCGGTGCATGGGGCTTGTTTTACAGACTTTATTTTATACCCTGCCCTGCAGCTAGTGTTCTGTTTGGGATAGGCATACACCATTTTCTGTGAATCATACAGCTTTCCCTGTGTAGCCAAGGAACAACAGAGCGTGATTCTGTACATAATGGGTGCCTGATAAGACAAGATGTGTCAGGTTATGGATAAACATGCAAAGTCCACACTGCACCCCTCATATCACCAAGCCTGCTCTCAGAACACAAGCACACCCTATTGAAAATTATATAAGCTTATGAATAACCTGGGACAGAACAAAGTCGCCATATTTGCACAACATTTGAACCTCTTACCCTACAAATACATTTCAACTTGTGTGTGGCTTTACTACAACAGCCCTGAATGAAACTGAAGTGCTCATGAATCAGGCCGTACCTCAGAGTTTTGTCATCTAGTGAGCCAAGCTATAGCCCGAACAGAAACAGAGGATAATCCTGTGGATTATTGACATTGTGCAGAGATCCTTGTAAGATTTCACAACACCATAATCCACAACAACGGCTTAATCACAAACTTCCCCTGGCAGTGCAGCACAAAATTCACCTGACATTCACAGAGAAAGTACTTGTCCTTATTAATGTGAAAACCTGTTAAAACACACACACACACACCATTTAGTGCAAAAAAGGAGTGAATTTACCCAACGTCTAACAGCAGCACTTCTGCTTCTCTTCCTCCTTTTTGTCCTCCTCTCTACGCCGAGTTGTCTTGTCTCGGCTGTGCCACTGTCCTAATGTTTAAACCTCAGGCTTGCGTCGTCCACATCTGCAGACGGAGGGGATGCAGAGGGAAGGGAGTGAGGGAAGTGGAAGGAGAGAAAAAAAAAAACAGGCAGGGAGAAAGAAAGAGAGAGAGCGAGAGAGAAGGACACTCATGCAGGTAATGCACAAAAGAAAAGAGGACAGAGGAGAGAGGGAGAGAGAGATATACTCTATTACATTAGTGGCACACTGTGGCCCTCTGCGCTAAGCTCCTTATAAAACGCTAACCTGATTTTAGGCCCAGAAATGAGAGTAGAGGGAAAAAAATAAAGCTCCAGTTGGAAAGAGGACAGGCATACAGGAATTATGGCTCATAGAACTGTTTACACATTACACCGGGTTGCTTGTACCCGGACGATCACAGAGGGAAGTCTATGTATGTGTGCGTGTGTTAGAAAGTTAAAAATTAAAGAAAAACACCAACCAGGAATTAGCTTTCTCACAGCCCTCGTGAGATCCAGAGTCCAAATCCAAATGCACCAGACACTTTTTATAACATTTACATTAACAGTTACACAGAGATGTGTGATTTTATAAATACATACATTTTTGCATTTGCGTGTCCACACATCACTAGTCAAGCACTTTTGCATGCATAAAATGGGCACATGATTGTTCATTTTCTTCAAAGACTCCTTCAGTAGTGCATCCTGCTGTCCCAGTGGTTTATATATACACACATATAACTGCAACATCCCTGGTTTTATTCCAGCCAGGTACCTTTGTTGCACATTTCCTCTATATCTCCACTGTTAATCACCAAAACAGACTCTTAGAACAGTAAAAAAAATGACTCAGTAACACTGACAAAAGACACACACGTATCTCCCTCACACGTTTTACATGAATCCAACTTTCTGCACATTCACACAGGATGGTGTTCAGAGATGGGAGCACTATCTAGGCCACTGGGCTACAATCAGCAAGAGGGAGGGCAGCAGTAAGTGGAGAGCGAACCTTTGCATCCACATTTTTTCGTGTCTGGGTGTGCGGCTGAACAGCTTCTCTTATGAGGCTCCTCATCACACAAATCCTTATCTCTTCAATCAGAATATAAACCCAGCCAGTGACATCTGGATAACATGCAACCAAACACATGTTGCACGTTAACAACAGACCACAGTGACATAAGAGTCTGGGATGTGGGTTTGTTTAATTAACTCCCTTCATGGATTTACTGTCTGTTATATACACATAAGGGACAATATGTATGCAACTTCATCTTGTCTAATACTGTAATGACGTTGGCCTGTGTGTCTTACATGAAAGCCGTTTGTACATATTGTCATATACTGCATGTTTACAGCTCTAACTGCTTCTGGCAATTGCAGCCTTCGTCCTCTCTGCTCGAGGAAGACAAACGTTTGTTACAGTGACGGTCATCTCTGGTTCACGTGGTTTTCTGATGGATTATGATTTCTTCCTCTCAGAGCCCAGATGAGGACTGTGCATATCGAGATTAAGGCCGATAGATAATCCGATCACAGCGCTGTTTGAACTCATGCGGGTTACCATTCATTCAAGCAACCAGTTTCCCATGAAAATTGAATGAGGGGGTATTTTCCCCATGATTGTTTTTTTATGGGGGGGACTTCTTTGTCATTAATACCTTGAACAAGTAACGTATACCAAATCACTGCTGTCACTCCCTTAATCATTTAGATCCAACTATCCTGAGGCAGTTTTAACCCTTTACAAACCACGTGCCTATAGAGCCAGCAGCAGCAGCATACTGTTGTGTAAAGGAGACAGAACAAAATGATGTTTTTATCTTTGTTCTACCTCATAAAGCTGCTGCTGCATTAAGGGTTTGCTGAGTTGAAGTAAAGATCAGTGAAAGACACACAGGAATAAACTAATCAATAAAGTGAACTCTTAACCTTAGTAACAGTTAAGCTTTTAAGCCAACAAAGAAGTCCAATAATGCTCAGAATAATGCATAAATATCTACCGTTCCATGACAACTGAGCCTACTGAGTCTGCTGATGAAGACCATGTGATATGGTTAAAAGCTCTAGTGCAGGCAATTAAATGGGCAATGAGTTGAGATGCTTTTGCTTAAGTTTTTGTGGAAGACTTTACTTAGTAAAACATATGGCTCACAGTTTTATTTTTTTTATTTTGAATTCTAGATTTTATATGCGAGAGTGAACATAAGGCAACTGAACAGGCTGGAAACATGGTTAATAGGAGTACATTTATTTTTTACATCATAAAAGCACTTTTAATAAAATTATAAAAACACTTTTAATATAATTTTAAAAGTTTTAATTTATTTTTCCACCAGATAGTGGCATCCACCTTAAAAAGCATCTTCCATGTAGACAATCATAAACCACACAAGTAAAAAAAGATCATAGAAAATAACCCTTAAAAGTAAAGAAAGGCTGAAAAAATACTATTTTAGATAAGACTGAAGAAATATAAAATTGACCATCCAGTACATAATTATACTTGCTGAAATTAAAAAGTGTGACAAAAAGAGTTATTGTAAAACCTCTGACAGAAAATGCTCAGTTACACATAAGGCCGATCACATGCACCTGTCTGTTGTGATGTGGGTTTTAAGGGCAGGTAAGTAAATTAAGTCATTTGAGATTGAAACTTTCAAAGGCTTTTGAATTTCATAGTGTTTTTGTGTGTTTGGTGTGAAAAATGTCTACGGACGTCTCCTGGCACTGCCTGAGGTCATAGTCACAATATCCAATAGAGAATCGCCCCTGGAAGAGAAAACGAACACTTCTTACAACCAACATGTTGACTCGCACACATTCAGCACCATAATCCTGACAACGGCAGCAAAAAAGGATGAACATTAATTAGTATAAAGTCTCACCTTAGGTCTCTTGAAGTAATCCAGCCCTCTTCCTATTTTGATGATCCAACCGTTGTCAAACCTAAAAATAAAAATGTAATTCATTTTGGAAAACTCTATGCCACAGTCACAGAGAGTGGAGAGCTAATGTGAAAGTAAATACTAAACACTGCAGCAAGAATCTCTGCTGAGAAGAAGCCAACATCTGGAATCTATTTTATATTCTTCATATGTGAGTCGCAGCTGTACCTGATCTCCCTGTCATGTATGGTGGAGGAGTACTGCAGATCCAGAGTCACTCCCTGAGCACTGAGACTCTCTTTCAGCTCTGCCAGAGCGTTGCCCTGCTGTCCGCTGTCCGCCTGCAGGACAGGACAAATGGGAGTGAAATGATAGCACAGACCGAGCTGAAGAGGCCGATAAGTCTGCAATGCATTCGCTACACAGCGTGACCTCATTATTTAAATAACCTACTTCGTCCTGTGTAGTGAGGAGATGGATCTTTTTCACCTTGCAGGACGCTTTTAGCAGCATCTCACAGAACCGCAGGAAGTTGTACAACTGTAACGGAGAGGAGGGGATGGGGGGTTGTTTGACATGTTAAGAGTTTGGCGCAGTTCTATGTTGAGAAATATTTTTGAAAAAAACATACGCAGCAAAGGGCCACAGGTCGGTGTCAAACCCATGGCGGCTGCAGCAAGGACTCAGCCTTGGTACATACCAGGTGAGCAAACAGGGTGCCACCACTGTTGCTGATAATCAATCAGTCACTTGTTCCAGCTTTTAAAATATGAGGCTGCATTTCTGTTACATACGATTTTAAATTTGATAGTTTTGGCAGACAAAATTAACAATTTGAAGACATCACTTTTCTAACCTGATTAAACTAATCTAAGAATATTTACCCCTTATACCAGCTCAAACAATGACAGTCTTTAAAGTTTACTTTGACACAGCAACAGAGCTCAAGATACGTTAATAAAGCACGACCCACCTTAAGGCCCATGTCATATTGTCATATTATGTGTCAATAGAGCATATTCCCATTTATCCAAACAAAGTTACAATGATTGATATAACCACAGTGAGACTGGGACTACTGGGCTACCAGTACAGATGCCTGCGTTGCCCAGCTGTTAATCAAGTAACTAAAAAGATATCTGATCAGACTGATTGATAATAAAAACAGTAGCTGACACGCTTCAACAAAGCCAAACAAAATGAGCCAAATCCACACAATAAAACACTGCTGAAAACAAAGATCTTACTTGGTGGATGTGCCGTATGTATGGGTCTTCTACCCAGACCTCTGTCAGTAAACTGCTGATGTATGGCTTGAACAGAGCCTCGTAGCTGTAACCAGTAGCATCCTCTGCTATTCTCATCTGCTCGTGGTATTTCCCATCTGACAGGAGAGGGAACACAGAAAGAGACGAGAAACTGACGTTAGTGGTGACACACTTTCAACAATAACACTGTGTATTCAGCCCCTCACCACACACACACACACACATAAACACACACATAAACACACACCTTCCCTCAATACATTTTACCCCAAAATAAATCTGATTATCTACCCTGGAATACTACGCTGCCTCAGGTTTTCAGTACGTCACTTTGTTTGTTTGATTAAACACACATTTGTTTCACAATATGCTCTATATAACTTACATTACATCAACTGAAATAGTTACATTAATACTATAGTCTAACTAGATTTTGCCCCAGGGCCTGATGAGTTGGTACAGATGCAGAATCAACCGTAGGGCCATTTTGAGTTTTTAACGCTGTATGACTCAACTGGTTTGTGGGGAAAAAAGATTGATTGAATTTTAATTTTTAGAAACAAACACAACTAAAGTACATAAAAAATGTGTTAAGGCCCTTGAGGCAGATCTACATGATTCCCTGCTTTGATAATGTGTTTGTAGACACAGCGGCCCTTCACACGGTTCAAATATTCCTAAACAGATGTTATAATAGATATAAGGTATAAATCTCATATAAAAGTAAATCTGTTAAACCAAATTACAACAAACAAGGGAGTTCCCAGTGGGGCCCCACAGCAGGTTAATCCAGCTGTCTCCCTTTGTACTTCAGCCTCCAGCGGTTGTGTCCATTACCTTCCTTCATCTGGTTCACATGAGCTTTGATTTGCTCTGCTCTGTCCATGTAGCCCTTTATCTTGTCCCTGTAGTGTCCTCTCTTGGAGTCGTCTTTCACTGCTGTTGGCAGGAGAAAGGACACAAGAATTAACAATGGTTCAGGTCTTCATCAAGCTGCCTCTGCTGTGTCTGGAAGAGGAGGGACGCGGAGACCTTTCAGCACGTCCATAAGCAGCTGGATGCCCTCCTGGTAGCAGACCAGAGACTCCTGGAAGCGGCCGCTGTGGTCCAGCTCCACGGCCCGCTTCAGGACGGACACTGCGGACGTCTCCATCCCTGACACGTGGTTTTGTGTCATTGTTCTGTCTGTCCTTCGTCTTGTCGGAGCTTCTAGAAAAGCAGAAGGCTTTTCATGCTCGTCTACGGCCAGGGAAGTCAATCAAAGAAGAGCCACCACCTTTCACAAGTTGATAGCTACGCGAGTGCGCCACAAAAATAACTCCCGGAGAAACCTAATGCTTAATGGTCCACGGTGCTCAGGCGTGTGTAGTTTAAACAAAGAAAATATACAGCTAATGCATCTGTATTATAACTTTATATTTTTACATTTTAATATTGTCTTTGTAAAATCTAATACAAAGTTAAAAACTAACTCTAGGAACCTCGTTGAAGGAATATCTGTCACATCGGCGCAGTTTAGATGTAACTCCTTGTCGCTTCCGGTGGAGAAACAAAACTGCCATGACACCAACGTGACGGTCAGTGTACCTGAAGTTCATCAGCTCCTGGATTAACGTGTATGTGTACATGAGGTGAATGTGAATGTGAATGAAGGTGTTTGTTTGTTTGTTTTTATAACGCTTAGTCCCGTTGGCCTCACGCGCTCGTTCTGCGGTCAGCTGTAACCTTGGCGTGCACGAGTGTGTTTGTCCCTGCAGAGGAGTCATAGAGGAGGGGGACTGAACATGTCGGTCCTCTGTCGCGGGTTGAGCTCTTCATCAGTGAAGGTGAGAACATCAGTGTCACACTGTCAGGGTCCGTAATGTGGAGGCAGCTTGTGTTTGAATGGCAGCATTTACTGCCTCTGTTGTTGTTGTTGTTGCTGCAGTCTAGTAAACAGCATAGCTTTGGCTGTGCCGGGTGATTTCACATTTGTTTAATACATTTTCAAAACGCTTAAGGCCCAAACATCTTTCACACTGGAAGTTAAAACCCAATCTGAATGAAACAATTCATGAAGCCATTCATTGTCATTAAATCACAGAAACATGACTGAATCATGTGCATTAATCCTCTAACATATAATTGTAATGTATTGCAGGTAAACTGCTGGAAAAATTAAATGAAAATAGTTTTTTTAAACCAGCTCATTGTACCTGACAAATTGAAGCCGCCCAGCTCATTGGCTCATAACAGATCCACAATGTGGAATAAACCCAGAGATATTAAACATTATGTCATATGACCTAACCACTGTATCTGTGTGTCCTCTGTTAGAAAACAGATCCTTACGCCTTTTTTAACGTCATGTCATCGTCCCTGTGTATGTTCACAGATCCTGACAGAAGCCACACTTTTGCCACCTTGCCCGTGGTTCATGTCTGCACGCAGCAAATTCAGCAAGGCAAGAGTCCCGCAAGAGGTAAGAATCAGGGCAAAAGCCTCAGGTGCACTGTAAGTCGGGTAGTTGTCTTGTAGAGAGTCCCTGCGTCAACATCTAGCTTTAAGATTTGATTTTAAACCGTGGTACTTTGAGTTTATATTGTGGTTCATATTGGTAAATTAAATATGGTAGAAAGAGTCCAGGGTGTGTAACACAAAGGACAGATTAATCCGTGGTAATAGTGATGCTCCTTTGTTCTGCACTTGTGAAGGATTTAAGCATCACGTCAGCTCATTTGCTCTCTTGTCAGTGTTCAAAGACTCCGTGTTTTTCTCCACAGCTTTTTGTCGAGCGATCAAAAGAACACGAGAAATATGGGGGAGATCCAGACCAGCCTCATAAACTGCATATAGTGACACGAGTCAAAAGTGTGATGCGAAGACCGTACTGGGAGAAAGAGATGGTGAAATACCTCGGGCTTGAAAAGGTAATGCTTTTGTTCTGCTTGGAAATTCATCCTTTTTATTCTTTCTTCTCAACATTCAGTTAAACTTGTGCCGCTCGCAGTCTTGGATCTTTTTGCACTGACTCTGTTCTCTTTGTATTTAGGGTCACACACCTGTAATACACAAAAATACACCTGCGGTCAATAACCAACTGAAATTTGTAAAGCACCTGGTAAGGTAAGACGAATGTACACAATGTAACGTATGTGCCTTAAATTCTATTTCTCAAGCTTGGGCAAATAATTAAAGCGTGCAGCAGAAGTAGATTCATGACTTGAGTTCTAAAGGTGATTTCAGTAACTCTCTGCTCACTAAAGGGACATTTAAAGAGACTGTTTGCATGATCCCTTGCCCTTTCCTTCACTCAGGATCCAGCCGCTGAAGACTCCCTATGGACTTCCTGCTGAAGAGGACATGGCGGACTCCTACATTAACAGCAAGGGAGAGTTGATTGTTCGCCGCCTCCTCCAACCTGTAGACCCCAAGGCTATCGACTCGTAGCTCCACTTTCAATCATATTAACTGATAGTCCCATTGTTCAGAAATGGAAGTGGAAGATCCTGCGCTCCTTAGCTTCTGTGTTAGTTATCCAGACACGTTGGTTTTTTTTCTGCCCATCAGTCACAAAATCGACAAATAGTCTGTTTTCCATGATAAACAGGTGATGATTCAGTTTTTTATTAAACATGGCTTATGATAACATAAAATAAAGACCTTATGAAATTAGTCAAATGTTTTTTATTAGACCTTCTCTTTTCAGTCAGACTGTCAATGGCAATTGTTAGACCTTTTTTTCAGAAGCCAGTCTAAAGGACGCACGCACGCACACGACATAATTCCATACTTCATACTGATATGTTTTCACACACAGGTGTTACCAATGATAGTAATCAAGGCTCCATTCCATTTAGTGTAGTAGAGCCTTTCCAGTGAGCCAACGTGCACAGTAGCAGCACCCTGACTGAGTGGACTCAGCTATATCCACTTGTCCATTAGAGGGTCATTTTCAGCTGACATTAGGACAGGAGGTGGGTACAACCTGGACTGGTTGGTCAGTCAGTCACAGGGCTGACACACATACATACAGTCACACTCACATTTACACCCAAAGTCTTTGGACAGTGGGAGCCCACCAACGGGGGTACAGGGAGAACATGCAAACTCCACACAGAAAGACCCCACAACATTCTTCTGTGTGGCTGGTCCAATGCATGCTGTCAGTAAATAAATAAAGTTTTATGCTAACTGGAAATGATGCAATGTGTGCACAGAACAATCAATCAAGCTATCTAACTGCGACTCCGACACTGCTGATGAAACTGCAGACAACCAAACGTGTCTCTGAAGTTGTTCCACCACCATCCACAAAACAATTTAACTGTATCTATCTGTAAGAAGCTCACATTGCTGCACTGTAGGAGAACAGCGTGTATCAACACTACACTTAAAAGTGTTTTATAGTCTAGTCTGGAGAGTTTGGTGACCTCACGTAACTCCCAGCCAACTTTAATCTGAGCAGAGCCTTTAATATTGTCACTTACATCAATTATGCAATCTGGATTTCTCTTTAGTCTTACATAGCTTTTCAGAGTGTATATGATGCAAGCCTGAACCAGCATTAAAGGGGCACTACACCAATTTTGCACAAGTTTTTTCCAGGGAAGAAGGCTTGAAACATTGCATTATGGGAACTGTGGGTTCCAGTGTTTCGTTAAAACTCTCACAGGAACCTTAACTTTATAGAGGAGCTATACAAAAATCACAGCACACATTTTTAAATTCTTTTTATACTTTTTATTAAGTCGGCATTAGTTAAGTCAAACTCTCGCTACAAGGAAATGTCATGTAAAAATGTTTTCTGATAGTAAAAGATGATCTTGGCACTCATGCATCAGAGTTTCCGTTCTAACATCAGACTAACAAGGTGAAGAGGAAATAAACGGAGCTACCTAAATGAGAGGGTTTAGAGACAAACTCACAAACACAATGACGCTACGAGCTAGTTGATCCATTACTGGTGCAATGGCTCATCTGTACGGTATGTTTCCTTATTTTTGGATTACTTAATTATTGAAATATAACATATAGCAGGCAGTTTATTAAATAAGGCTGCAACACAAATAAATACTGACTGCTTTTAGGAAATAATTTGATTTGAGATATGGTACAATAAAATATGGGGAACTGATAATGAATGTGTAAGTCACTTAGAGAAAAGGAGAAAAATTAAAGCGGGCTGCATGACATTTTTTTCTTTAAATGAGGTAGCCCTTAAAGAGAAAACCAGACTGTCAGCGCTTTTCAGTCATCTCCAGAATCAGAATCTGAGTCGTAACCTCGCCCTCTGATGGTCTTCTTCTCCACCTTTGTGAACTTTGTGCCTGACCTCTGCGCCGTTGTAGGAGGCTCCATCGGGTTGCCACTACAACCGGGGACAAAAAAAAAGTAATAAATTAACCGATTGTGTTGTTAGAATGAGGCCGACATGACTAATGTTTTTATCAGCACATTACTAAGAGTCTGTAGCTGCACATGTCTCACCTGTAGTTAATAACATCTGCACAGCCGAGTCTCCACTCCAGCATCTCTGTGGGAAAGTCATCTGTGTTTCCCAGGTCAGTGAATCCAACCACATAATCCTTTGTTTTCCCGTCTAACAGCAGGGCTAACGTAGGAATCACCGTGATCCTCAGCCTCTCTGTCAGAAATGGAGCCTTTTCCACATCCAGTTTGATGAACTTGGTCTCGACGTGCTTCTTTGCCAGGATGGCCAAGTGTTTGTCGACGATCTTACATCTGTACGTAGGGGATGGAGGACAAAATGACAAGTTCAGCAGCCTGATGAGAACGTACTCTAACAACTAAAATGAAAAAACAAACAACTTCTATCCAACATAAGCTAAAAGCTATGCTAATAAGGTATCGCCCTGACTCCTGGAAATGACATGCTTATTGGTTCTGATTATTGGCGCTGCGACTACAGATTATTTTCATTACCGATTGCTTTTTAGATTTATAATTTTACATAGAACATTTTAGGAAAGAGTGAAAAACATCCCAGAGCCCAAACTGATTGTTTGTCTTGTTTGACACAGTTAAACAACCAGTAGAAATAAAAACACACATTTGATAAATGGCTGAAATCATCAATCAATTATCAATACTGTTATACGGGTTAAGGTTTCTTTTTCATCCTAGGTTACATTTTTTCAATCATACACCTCTTGCTCCGTCACTAAGGGTCTTTATAAATTTAAACAAACCCTAGACGATCGACTTACCTGAAGGTTGAATTTTTGTAGAAGTGGCAGACAACATTCTTGCTCTCCTTGACCTCGCCGAAAAAGTCTTTCTCACTCGAGATTTCTCTGTACTCTCCATGGCCTTTAGACAACCACTCCTTAACAAAAAGAGAGAACTCAGTTGAGTAGATGAACATTGAAGGGTAAAAGTAGCAGAACTGGCCTTTACATTCAAGCACAATGAGAACATGCAGTGTCTTTTGTTGGCTGGTTTCAAACAGTAGCAACCCATTTCTCCCACCAGAGTCCTTGTGTAAAATTCAAAGACTTCTCTAGTCTGGTTTTCTCACACCAACTGTAAAAGGATAAACTCTGTATTTCAGAACGGCTCTGTGACTAAAGCAGCTGAAAAAAAAACCCCCATCTAATCATTTAGCTATATGAATATATTTAGTTAAAACAAACTAAACAGACATAAACCTGTGATCTGACTAAGACTGTCCAACAATCTCTTCCTCAGACGTCCACAAGAAGTTCACAGAATTCAAAATCATAAAACACCTCTAAGGAATACAATATTTTATGATCACTCCCCGCAGCAGCTTGGCGATACATACGGTGAAAGCAGTGGCACGGATACATAAGTTACATATGTTTTTGCAGTGGATCCTGTTGTTGTGATAGAAATGTACACTTACTTATACAGTAAAATAAGTACAGTTAGGACAACCCACTGCATCACATAATGAGTATAAACAGTTCAAAGAAAACCTCCCACATACTTGCTTCTGTTTCTGGGCTTTTTTAAGAGCCTCTAATCGCCGCTCCTTCAGTCTTTCCAAGTCATCTTCATCCATTTCATTCAGTTTGCTCAACTGTGCGTCCACCTTCTCCTCCACCAGCTTGGCTGACTGCTCCAAAACCTTTGCTAGGATATCCAGTGATTGGTTGGCCATGGTTGCCTGAACTGTGTGACACTCTCTCTGAATCTGAGGACGCAAAAAACAGACAGCCGAGCCATGACACCACACACCAGTTAATAAACAATAAA